CACACACACACACACACACACACACACACACACACACACACACACACCTCTTCTCCAAAAGTGAAGCTGAATACATTTTCGAAAATGCATCCCTATAGGGCTAGAGGAATTCCTTAAAATCAATTGGTAACACTGTCAATTAGGGAAATGTTCACATTTCACCAATAAAATCATTTTCCTTCCTTGGCTACCAGAAAACTTGTCTCATTCTTGAGGAGGGCAGACACAGATAGTACTGTCTGGCTTTGGGGGCTCCTGGCCTCCTGCAGTTCAACACCCAAAAACAAAAAGGTCAGCTAAGGTGAGGAATACAGGGAGATGGGAAAGCGAGGGGTGTGTAGTGAGGCCCTGAGGAAATCACTGCTAAACTTGGAGTTTCTTATCCTCAGAATGGGAATAATCATTCCCATCTACCTCACAGAACTGAATATGTATGTGCAAGCATTTTGAAAACTGGAAAATGCCAAATGAGTGAAAGAGATGATGACTGTTTATTTTTTTTAAAGAAAATGCATGATACTCTTCTGAGATGCTCTTTTTAAATGCAGATTCCTGATGGTTTCTCAGAACATGAAGCAGAAGTCTCTGAGAAGAGGCCAGGAATTTGAGTTTTTAACAAGTTTTTCATGTGTCAAACCTTGAGAGTTTTATTCATACATACATACATACACACACACACACACACACACACACACACAATGTAGGTAATACTAGAAGAAGAAATCAACTCAGACTCTCCAAATCTAGCACTTCCATAGAATTGCAGTCCTGGTGTTCCTACCACCATCCCAAAAGAAAAGCGTGGAAAGAGGATGTGTGTTCTCTAATCTTTGAGTGTGTTGGGTTTTTCTGTAGGTTTATGGGAAATGAACATGTTTTGATGCAGAAGGTAGCCATTGTAGTGGCATAGGATGGAAGAGGGTGGATGGGGCAGGAGATGAAAATGCAGACAACACTTGTTTGACGTTCTCCTCTCTGTCTTGACATGCCAGCATCAAGTCAGGCATTTAAGGAACAAAATCAAAACAACAAATGGGAGCTTTCTGAGAGTGACACTATTCTTGTCTTTAGATCTCTATTAAAAGAATGGTGTTTCCGATTCGATTAGACAACAAAGACTACTCATCTTCTTACACTCCTGCAGCTGTTGTCAGAGTGCTTGTTTAGCTGCTTAGCTCTGTAAGTCATCCTCAGCATCCTTTACTTTATTGACTCCATTTCCCCAATGAGAGGAAGATGTAAGTCTCGGGACCTTTGAGAAGTTATCTAGGATCCATGCACACAGCTGTTTAGCTCTGAAGCAATGTTTAAGTTAGCTTTCTGATATCCAGAAAATCATAACTTTCCTACCAGGCCACTAAATGTCAGAAATCTTCTCCACAGTTACAAGGGCATTTCAGCATCCTTGCATTTGGGCATCAGGAATGAGATTAAATCAGCCTACTGATGATTTAGGTAAAACAACCTGTTTTTTTAAGGGCAATATCTCAGAGATAACAATACCTTGATTTTTATGCCATCTTTCTTTTTTTCAAGATTTTATTTATTTGAGAGAGAGAGACATAGGGAGAGAGGGAATACAAACAGGGGAAGTTG